TTCTCTCTCTCCTCTCTCTCTCTCTCTGCTCTATCCCTCTCCCTCGCTCTTTCTCTCTCTCTTACTTTCTGCTCCCTCCTCTGCTCTCTCTCTCTCTCTCTCTTCTCTCTCTTCTCATCTTGCCTCTCTGTTTCTCTCTCTCTCTCTCTCGCTCCCTCTCTCTCGCTCTCTCTCTCTCTCTGTCTCTTTCTCTGTCTCTCTCTTCTCTCAATCTCAATCTCTCGCCTTCTCTCTCTCTCTACTTCTTTTTCTACTCTGTCGCGTCTCTCTCTCTCTCTTCTCTCTCTCTCTCTCTCTTCGCCTGCCCTCTCTCTCTCGCTCTCTCTCTCTCTCTTCTGTCTCTTTCTCTTCTCTCTCGATACTCTCAATTCTCAATCTCTCTTCTCTCTCTCTCATCTCAATCTCTCTCTCGCTCTCTCTTCTTCTTCTTCTCTCGGTACTGTCTGCTCTCTCTCTCCCTCCTCCCTCTCCTCTCTCTCTCTCTCTCTCGAGTCTCTCTCTTCTTCTCTTCTCTCTCTCTACTACTCCTCCCTCTCTCTTCTTCTCTCCCTAGCTTCCTATCCGCTCTATCTTTCTCTCTCCTCTTTCTCGTCTCTCTCGCAATCTCTCTTATCTCTCTCTCTCTCTCCCTTCTCTCTCTCTCTCTACTCTGTCCGTCTCTCGTATCCCTTTCTCTCGTTTCTTTCTTCTCTCTCTCTCTCGTCTCCCGTCTCTCTCTCTCATGTTGCACCCCTCTCAATTACTCTTACTTGTTAATCGTAAATTATTAATAAAACGTAATATGAATAGGAGTATATAATAGTCATATTGTATTATTTATGGCGTTAGTCATAAATTAACGTTATTTATAGTCAATAGTCATGGCGTTTATTCTTTCTTGCGTTCTTGTAACAGCCGTTTGATATGCCATTGCTTTCTTTATATCTGTTTCTCTCACACTATGCAGCCCAGCTACCTCGTCACCCCCCCCCTTCTCTCTCTCTCTCTCTCTCACCCTCTC